GGCCGCCGGGCCACGCCCCTGAGACGCACCTCTGCAGGCCCCGCCCCCGTCCCTTGCAAGGCGCGGTCTGAGTGTCTCTCTCTGGCCGCCTGTCTCTGTCCGGGTGTCTCTCTTGTACCCTCGTGTCTCTGTGTCTCTGTCTCTGCCTGTCCGTCTCCTTGAGTCCCCAGGTCTCTCTCTCTCTGAATTTCTCTCTGTCTCGGCGTCTTTCTGCGTGTCTGTCTCTCCTGGCCTCTCTCACCTTTTCTCGGTGTCCCAGTCCCTCTTCATTTTCTCCCTCGAGACCCCTCCACTCTCCTGCATCTCTTGTTCCCCAATGTCTGCACCCCCACCGGCCAGGGGGCGCCTTGCCCTCCGGATTTGAGGACCCGGGGCTCTGACGCGGGCTCGGCGGGCCGCGGGCGCCCCCACGTGGCCTGCAGGGGACTGTCAGGAAAGGACCGAGGGCTGAGTGTGCACGCGGGGGTGCGCTGATTGCCGGAGAGACCCGGTGTTCCTGGGTGACTCGGGGCGATGGTGTGTAACCCCGAGACTGTGAGTGTACAACTGTGAGACCGTGCGTGACGCCAGAGGTTGTTTGTGGCTATGTGACCTGGTGAGATGTTATGGAGAGTATGACTGAGAAGTAGTGTGTTACCCCGAGACTGTGAGTGTACAACTGTGAGACCGTGCGTGACGCCAGAGGTTGTGTGTGGCTATGTGACCTGGTGAGATGTTATAGAGAGTTTGAGAAGTAGTGTGTTACACCTAGAGCAGCGGTTCTCAACCTGTGGGCCGCGACCCCTTTGGCGGTCGAACAACCCTTTCAAGGGGTCGCCTAAGACCATCCTGCAGATCAGATATTGACATGACGATTCATCACAGTAGCAACATGACAGTGATGAAGTAGCAACGGAAATAATTTTATGGTTGGGTCACAACATGAGGAACTGTATTGAAAGGGCCAGAAGGTTGAGAACCACTGACCTAGAGGTTATATGTGAGAGTACATGTGAGAGGAGAGAGAGGACATGCATGGGATGGTGTGTGACGCCATGAGGTCGCCTGTGCCAAGCGGGGGGGGGCTGTTTGTGGTCCCGAGTGACCGTATGTGAGCGTGAGAGACTGTGTGACAGCGTGCAGCCTGCTGAGGAATGAGTACTGTGTGTGTCACCTTCGCAGACGAGGTGACTCTGAGTGAGTGCGATCCACAGAGGTGGCGTGAGAGGGCAGTGTGCGAGGCCCGGGGGACTGGGTGTGACACAGAGACCATGTGAGTGGGAGACAGCATGCGTCAGCCACACGATGGACGGTGAGGGTGGTGCGTGACTGTGACACAGATTATGTGGGAGCCTAGCAGACTGGCACGGCATTGTGACCGCGCACGAGAGCGTGTGTGACTGTGCAGGGCACGCAGAGACTAGAGCACGAGAGAGCCCTGGCTGGTGTGGCTCAGCGGTTAGAGCATTGGCCTGCACATGGAAGGGTCTGGAGTTCATTCCTGGTCCAGGGCACAGACCTGGGTTGCAGGTTCTACCCCTGGCCCAGGTGGGGGCGTGTTTGGGAGGCAACCATTCAATGTGTCTCTCTCACAGCGATGTTTCTCTCTTTCCCCTTCCTTTCACCCTCTCCAAAATCAATGGAAAAAATATCCTCTGGTGAGGATGAACCAAAATATATTAAATTGAAAGATAGAGTCTGAGAGAGAACTGGTGTGCATAAGTGTGCAACACTGGGATATTGCTGTGTGAGGGTGACAGCCATGTGTGATAGATACAAACTGTTTGAGGCTCAGCAAGAGATTCTGTACATGACAGTGGGGGGGGGGGGTGACTGTGTGACTGTGTGTCAGGGAACGTGTAAGATTGCGTGTGACATTTAGAGATTGTGCAAGAATGCGTGGGCCTGTATGTGGGAGTCACTGGCTATCACTGTGTAATACTCTAAAATATGATGTGATAGCCCTAACCGGTTTGGCTCAGTGGATAGAGCGTCGGCCTGCGGACTGAAAGGTCCCAGGTTCGATTCCGGTCAAGGGCATGTACCTGGGTT